CATCCGCTGCCCCGCGCCCCGCGACCTGCCACTCGGCCGGGACAATGGCCAGGTACCCTCGGGGCGCAAGTGGGCCGGACGCGGGGGGCGGGGTCTCTTGAGGGCAGTTCCCGGGTCCCTAGTGCTAGGGCCGCGGGTCACCAGGCTGGGGAGAGCTCCGGAACGGCCCTTCCCCCACCCGCCCCATCGTTCACGAGGGTCTGAGAGGTGTGCGACACGGTCGGGGCTGGCTAGCGCAGTCGTAAGACTCCGGAGGGACCTCCGAAGTCCAGTCGCGGCTCCTCTTCTGCAGAAAGAGAGAGCGAGGCTGTGAGAGGGAAAGTAAGTTGGCTGAAGCCGCTGCAGGGACCCTCAAGATGCAAAGGGCCCTCTGGGACGCATTTAATGCAGGGCTGCGTTCTGTATTCGTGCATCCACCCGTTCACTCACTCATCGGTCATTATAGAGCTCCTACTGTGTGCCCGGCGCCGGGACACGTTCAGCGAGTCGCCTGTGCTGTCACAGCTTCGAGCTGGAAGGAGTCTTTCCTGACTGCTCCCCTCGTGCTTTCTGGGAGGGATTTGGTTAAGGATTTAGATCGTGGGGCAGTTAAAGCTGGAAATCCCCACCGCCAGGCGCCGACATCTTCAAGGGATGCTCCTGAGTCCCACGGCACGATGCCCCTGTGCCCATTTCACAGAGCAAGTTGGAGGCAGAGCTGGGATTTCAACTGGGGTCTCTAGCCTCCCAGACTTGGGGGTATTTTCACCCCTGAAAATGAGGAGCGGGGGCATCAGGGAGTGGGAAGGCCAGGGCTTGGGCCTTATGGGTCTTCTCCATTGAGCCGGGGGTCACCAGGGAACTGGGGGAAGATGGGGAATGGACGGCACGGCCTTGGGATGGATGGGTGAGGGTCAGGGCCAGGTGTGAGAATTAAATCAGAGAATGCAGGTAGGTAGTGAGCATTCAGTAAATGTTCGCTGTTAAGTTTTATTATTATTCTTTATCGTGTGAATTGACCCTCCCCTCTTAAATGCTATGAGAGGCTTAAAGTGAGCCTGGAGGGCGGCACAGACTGATCCGGACAGAAATCTGGGAGGGCTTCCTGGAGGAGTAGGGGCTGGGCCTGCCTGCGCCTGCTGGACGCGGTGGGGGGTCTTCTCCCAGCCGCAGCCCATCCCTTCGCGGGCGGTTCTTGCTGTAGCTCTCCGTGGTCCTGAACCCGGTGCCTCGCGAGGGAGAGGTCTTACAGCGATGGTGTGTGTGTGTGTGTGAGTGTGTGTGTGTGAGTGTGTGTGTGTGTGTGTGGGTGGGTGGGTGGTGTTGAGGGAGGGAGGTGGCTAGAGAGTCCAGTTCTTCTTCTCCTCTCTTCTTTATCTCCCCCTGCCTACTCCCTTCCTTGGTGGTCTGGCCTCGCTTGGGATCCAGGCTTGCAAGCCCGATCCGGAGGCCTCAGAGCAGCGGGCCAAGAAGCCGGGGCCAGCACCAGGGAACGGGTTTTCTAGCCAAGGCACCTCGCCCTCTTGAGCCTCGGCTTCTCCATCTGTGAGATGGGGCGGCAGGCGCGCTGGAGTAGCAGGCAGGGGACAGACAGCGCTTTGCGCACTGCCGGGAGCTGTCCGGAGGCGAGTCCGTGCCGGAGCTGCGGTCAGTGTCACCAACGCCTGCCGGGCCCCGGCTTCGGCCTGGCCTACCCCGCAGCCGCGCCTTGGCGTTTGGGGATGCTGGTCGCTTCACCGCTGCTGCAGCCCCTTTCCCCATCCCCTTCCTCTGCCCGCTCCGGCCCCCTCTGCCCTTTCTCCATGGTTTCTCGGGGACCGGACAAAGGGCGGTGCCTCTGGCGCGTCCAGGGCTTCGAAAACTCGAGGTTCGGACCTGGGGAGCCGAGGGGCTTGCGATCTCCGTGGAGGGAGCGTTTTAGTTTCTGTGGCCCGAGAGGCCACGGGGTTGGGTTACGGCGGGCTCGGGATGCGGGGCGGGCCCCGTCGCTCCTGCGCTTTGCGGCGGGTGCCGGCCCTTCCCCCGCCCACGGGCTCTCCCCGGGGAGGGAGGCGGGGTTTCTGCGGCGCAGGCGCGGCGTTCACCGCGGCCAGAGGCTGAGCGGCTGCGGCGCTTTGTACCCACGAAATCTGCTTGGGAGCAGCGATCTGTTTGGCCAGTCGCCGGCAGGTGCTCCTCCCCAGATACGCACGCGGTCCTGTCCCCATCTCCGGAGCTTTCCTGCCCAGATCTCCACACTGACCCCAGGGAACGCCCCGGGGAGTGGAATTTAACAACGCTCGGAAAGGGAATTAGGAGTCTGGGGGAGGGAGAGGATCCTTGCCCGCAATTTTCGGCCATTGACAAGGATTTGAAACCAAGCTCAGAGCCAGGGTGAACGGATGAGTGTAGGGGAATGAGCTCTAAACAGGGTGTGCGGGAACCCGGCTTCCAGACGATGCTCTGCTACAGCTAAGACGCTTTGCACCTGGGTACGTCATCTGACCTCTGTAAACCTCAATTTTCTATCTGTAACATGGGAAAATTATGACCTAATGTTCCTGGAGTACTAAGCTGCTTACAGTCTGTGAACCTACAATCCCAACTTCATTTGAAGGCCAAGGCATTTCTGGCCTCTTGCTCTGGACTAGGGGGCTTGCCCTGACCTCGGGAACTGGACTAGGAGGTCAGGGCTCCAGACCCCAACTGAAATGCCTGAGGGACTTTACCAAGACTAGCCCACCCTCCCTCTGGGTGGCAAAAGTAGAAGAAGATGGATCATTTTACAGGGTCTGTGGGTTTGCATTTTGCAGGCAGAAAATGAGCAGAGAAGTGTGCTGTCTTATTATGCTTGGTGATTTGGGGCATCTGTCCAGTGCTTTGGGGGCTTGCTGGGGCTCCCCCTTTTCTGTCCTCTTCCATCTTTTTTCCTCCCCTCTTACGAAGTTTATCCATATGTGCCCTGACTTCCTGCCCACCTCTCCCTGCAACAACATCTGCATCATTGGCTGGGGCCTGGTGTCCACCCTCAGCTGGGAGGCAGGTGTGTCCTGTTCTTGCTCCCATCCCCCAGCCTGTCCTGGGAGCTGTGGAGGCCTTGCTGTGATGTAGCCCTCCAGGCACTCACGGTTTGGTAGGCAAGTCTGTGGGGTGACCTGGTGGCCCCAAGGCCAGGCCGCAGTGTGGTGAGAGAGCTGCTGCAGGCATCCAGCGGGTCAGCCATTCATTAGGACCTTGTCACTCTCCCAGCTGCGTGCCCTCTGCCTAGCGGGGAGGCTCCTCCTAGACGCCCTCAGGGAAGGCTGGTTCCGTGATGGGGGTGGGGAGGGTGGCAGGGAGAGTCTTCACGGAGGGAGAAGGCGTTGGAAATGGGTCTGGGGTAGGATATTCAGAGAGAGCGGACAGCGTGAATAAAGGCTTGGAGTTGGACATGGAAAAGTGCCTGGTCCATTCAGGGGGTGGCGCCAGGGATGGACAAATGGAGGCTGTGGAAGGACAGGCCGAGAGGGGCGGTCGTTGGGCCAGGTCCTGGAGGTCCGGCAGGGTGGGCGCGTCCCTGGCATCCGGCCCACACTGTCTGCCGCACGCGGATGTTCCGGGGAGGTCCCCAGATGCAGGGCCACACACCTGTGGCGCTGCCCGCGGGCTCAGCCTGCTGGTGCGGAGGCCTCCGCTGTGTTTGCAAGAGCCCTGAGAACCAGATCCTCCCAGGAGCGGCAGCGGGGGCGGGGGGCGCGCGGGGGGAT